TTTTAAAAAATCTGATGTGTGGATCACATGATATTTCAATTTTTCTAAGTTCCCATTATAGGCCTTCTGCACTGTATAAAAAAAAAAATTTTCACTATCAACTATTGCTCACATAATAGGGTTTCCAATATAAACCATTTTCTCAAATCCCAAACTAGCCCCATCTGAGCCTGTGCTTTCAGAGACTGCATTGAAGTTAATGTCAGAAAGAGACATCTGGTGTGAATTACTCAAAGAATTAGATCTTACTTTTTGGTTGGTGACATTTTAGATGCTGGTAGTCAAGGTGAACTGGTTGTGAGATTGTTGTTTTTAGGTGCTTGGTGTCACCTTATCTCCTCAAAAAGAGGGAAAAGTCCCAACAATAAGGTATCTATTAAGTAATGTTCATAAGAAATTATTTTCAACATTTATTTGCATGATCTCACTCTTGAATCTATATAAAGGTGTCCTTTTCCATTCGCCTTCCAATCTTGGACTTTCTTCAGGAACTCTTCAACAAAGATTTTCAAAGGGACAAATTTTCACACTTTGAACATTTTCAGATTGGTTTTACTCATTTTTTTATGCTTGATTACATGCCAAATAAGCAAATGTTTACAGGTGACATGCTGCTATAGTTTGCCAACATAACCAAGAAGGTGTTGATCTAATGATTCCTATTATGCATAAAAATAAAAATGATATTGGGGCAATTATAATTCAGGTATTTCAGATACATCTCTTAGTTTAAATTTATGTTAGCTAAAAAATAATTGTATTTATAGGTCAAAAATTATAAGGATAAGCAATCCAAAAACACAATGAGGAGAAAAGCTGGACCACCACTTTCACCAGAGATTGTTTTCACTGAAGAGCTAGAAAAATGTATTGGAAAAAATAATTAGGAATATATTTGAATATTGGTAAAGGAGATGTCCACCTGAATTTGTTATATGCTGAGAAAAATATTAGTTATTAACAAAATTTTTATTTGTATTATAGGACAAGCATATGTGGAAGAACCTTTTATTCAACCATGTTTTTATGATGAGAAAAAAATTATCTTTGATACTGATCCATCTAGAACAATCACTACTCATTCTTGGTCAACATTTGAGCTACCTGAAAACAAACTTTATAATTGACTCCTTATTGGTGGATTGGGTTCTTTCAATCTTACTGAAGAATACAAAAACTTGTTCCAGAATCTTCTATGTTCATGGATTGATCCATTCAATCATACAAAAAATCATTCAATTATCAACAGATTTTACATCAGATGATGTTTCCTACTTATGGCAAGAAAAGGTAAAGATCCCTTTTCTTTTATTTGTGATTTAAATTTATATAATTTGCCTACTAATGATATCATATATTGTATAGGTCATTGGATGATGAAAATGATATGAATATATAGAATGAATAAGAAAATGAAAAAAGGTGAAGATTTGTAAACATCATTTCTATCCAAAATGGTTATATTAGTTTATTTTGATTATTTATTTGACTACCTAATATTAAATACTTGTTTGTCAAATTACTTATATTTTTTTATTTTGAATATTATTTATTATGTAATCTAGTTAATTAATGTACAGTGAACCCTCCCTAAGTGCACCCTCCATAAATGCACACCCTCCATAAATGCACGCTCACAAGAAATAGCACTATGTTCCCGAAGGGGTGCACTTATAGAGGGTTCACTGTATGATAATAATAGAATTGCATATGGTGGAGGTTTTTAGATTTAGAATATTAAATAAAGTAATTCATATAAAAAAATATTTCTGACATCCTAATATTAAATTAGGATTACAGAGCCTACAAATCAATTGTGTAAAATGTGTATATATATTTATATTGTATATAGGAATAAGTGTATATTAAAAGTAATAATAAATACAATGGTTCTAATGAATATCAAAAAGCAATTGATTTTTTAGAAAAAGGTTGTGATTGTGGTTGTTCTTCAAAAATTCCCAAGGAACAATTTGCAGAATTAAGAGAATCTTTTCAAGCTCTTTGCAAGTCTGAACAAGACATATTTTTGATGGCCCAACTTAAAGCAATGGATGGTGGGTCTATAAGCACTAGTAGACGCCTTAAAGAAAATCAGATCTAATAAAAGGACTTTCTACTGCGAGTGTGCAATCCGAGTTTCCTATTTAATAGGTTATTTAGCTCAACACACAGCCTCCTCACTGACTTACAGTTGATTCTATTGTTTGACACACAGCCTACTCGCCGACTTACGGTCAATTTCCACTATTTATATATATATATGACACACAGCCTACTCGCTGACTTACGGTCAAAAATTAATAATAAAAATATAACTTTTATCTTTTCAGATAAAAGGGTCCCTAGGTTCTATATATGTATAATATCCCAAAGGCGTCCCCTTGAGATGTTTCTCAATAATTAAAAGGGTTCCCAACTAATAATTAAAGGTTGGCCAGACCATTAACCATTAGAAGGGCTGGGGGGTCAACCACACTGGGTTTATTAGTTACTTACAGTCAAAGACTATGTTATGTAAGGTTATATATTTATTAAGAGTTATT